CCCCCCCCACACTGTCACCGAAATAAAGACAGAAGGACAGAAGCGGAAGGAGGTTCGAAGAGGAAGTGAAGAGAAGATAAGTTTATTTTCTACTTAAACATAAAACAGCATTTTAATAACAGCTAAAGGTGACAGATACTTTATTATGGTATAGTATTCAAATATATGCCTGAGAAGCACATAATATTGCCCCTTTAAAAATTCTGTTTGACTACTTTCACTCTCAGTTCCATAATTCAATTTCAGTTCCAAAATTAAGATTTTTGTGCCACACATCCTGGTCCTTGAGAAAGCCAGCCAGAGTAATCAAACACAGAGCCACAGATTTATGTTTCACTTCGGTGAAGCTTCCTGTCTGTATGTAACAGAGTTGATGCAATCCACCGTAAAAGTGACAAAAACAGACAAAGTTATTTTATTGCAGTGATTAATTTTATAGAAAATGTTGTATTTACATCCCATCATGGATCAGTCAGCAGCAGCATCTGATCAATATGTGATCCCTACTGACAGCATCACAGAGACCACTATACATAAAAACTTGTAACTCACCCTACTCTTCCATTTCTTTTCAAACTCAGGCTCTCTACTAGAGACTTGTGAGTTTGAGGGTTCTGCTCAGTATCTTAGCTGTTCCAGGGACTGGGCTCTTCAGGACAGAGATCTGAGACTATTGACACTTTGACTCTCCACAACTTCTATAATGTCCTTTTTCAGCCCTTGATATTTCTTGAGCTTCTTGTGGTTCTTCTACAGTCACTTAGGATTGCTCCATCTATCCCCACTTGTCAAACACCACAACATCAGCTGGTTAGCCATCACCTGTCTGTTGGTCTGAATCTGAAACTCCTACAGTATCTTATATACTCTTGCTACTTGTTTTACAAYCGTTAAAGTTTCTGACTCTGCCATYCTTTTATACTTRTTAAGTCCTAAGTCAAACATGATACAAGATAGCTGACATTAGAAAYCACAAAAGCTGCTGAAACTGTCAATTTTACAGACAATGAGCTAAAATATGGTATGCTAGCAGCTGTATTCCCCCATTGAGGCATGTTGTATGCTCACCTTCAACAAATGTTAGTTGTTGATTTCATTTTTTTTCTGAACCTTATGAATAAATCACATCACATTTGGCCCTACACTGACAAAAAGAAAGAATTAAAAATTAAGAATCAGTGTTCCATCGTTTTAGCAACATGAAATATTGAAGATATTTAACTATATATTTTAACTATATATTTTAGGAGTATAGTTCAAGAGTTGTTCCACTTTTGTCAGAAACATCAGTAGTGTAGGAACACATTTGTGGATGTTTGGTGCCAGTCAGATATGTCATAAATTCCTGTCACATGTGGTCTTCTCTCTGCACGATAAAACTCCACAGGAAGTCAGCAAATGTTATCTACGTTGAACATAAATCATTTGTCAGTTGGGCTGAAACCACCAGAAACACTGTCCCTTACAGGAAAACAGCTTTATCTTTTCYAAGAAACACAATGACACTTCTGTTCTCTGTGACAAAAAACAACTACAGGAGCATAAAGACGCATTTTAGTCATTTTTCTTTTTGAATGAACTATTTGTTGTAAGTTACATGTTGTTATAGACTCCTACTTGTCATGGGAGGATATCCTCTGGGACCAGGAGCACCAAAGTACTCCACCTCTGGAATGTCTGTTGTGTCAGAGTTAGAGCTGGCGATGGGGCCTGAGGAGCGGCCTCGGTTGTTCACTTTGGGAGGACGTCCAGTGGGAACAGGGGGAGCAGGAGACAGGGTCGGGCTAGCTTCTTCGCTGGACATGATGGGGTTAATTTGTGCCGCTGTAAGACAACAAGAGTGCATACAGAACAGTATTAGATCCATTATTTCTGATTGTATTATTTGGCATTAAAAGGCAAAAGATGGGTGATAACACAGCTAATCAAATTTAACCATCACGGCTGTGTCTCAGACAGTTTTACAGACATTGAGCTAAAAGGCTTGTTGAGTGGTCAATGCTGTGG